ATGGAGCCAGGATATGAAGGTGGACATAACTTACCAGTTGTTGAAGTATTTATGCTACCTAACTTCGGATGCCCAGGTTGCTGTTGCTGGAGGGTTGTTATTTTTCTTTGTAGTTTTACTTCTTTCCATAAAATCCATTAGTCTTGGGCTTTTAAGCTTTATTTAAAGCATCCTGCTGAAAGTAACACATGTTAACCCAGCTAATCTAATTTTATTTTATACCTGTTTATGTAGACCAAGTTTGTTCATGAACTCTCAAAATGTCAAAGCAATAAGGTAACTTTGATAATTTTTCTGGATGTGGGTAAATTTGTCTATGTAAATAAATCTGCTTATTTCATTTAGCTTTGACTGCACCTGTATGTGGAAACCTTTGATGATTACCTATTTATCACTTCAGGGGCCCGCAGATTCTTGAGTAATTAAAAGCAGATGGCCGCAGCTGGGATAAACTCTCGGCAGCTGATTAGTGCAGAGGAATGAGTTTGGAGATATCCAGCTTCCAGATAAACGATGGCTCAAAGCAGTTTATGTCAGCTGTGTGCTTTCAGGGTAATTCCAAACATGATGTCCGATAATATATCGAGAAGTAGGTGTTTGTTCTCCATCTCCTCCATGTCTGCCCTGGCAGACATGCCCTTCCCATGTCCCGCCTTGCCTGTTACTTGCCATCAGGGTACTTGTAGCTGGACTCCCTTATTTGGGTCACTGAGGCCCGATCAGGATTTGCTCTACCTGTGCAGCTCCCCACAACTCTGTGCTGCTTGGAGTGTTCTGGGTGGTGGTTGATATTGCTGCTCAAAACCAGCATTCACCCAAGGTCGGGCCCTCCACAAAGCTCATCTGTCAGCCCAACAAGTTCCGTTCTGCTACATTAAAGAGAAGCTTCATTAGGCAAAATCAAATTGTTCAACAAGTGAGACACATTCTGAACATGTTTATTAGCTGATGTCCAGTTCTTCTCTGGCCTCACAATTGGGATTCCCTTCCTGCTCTGCTGGAATTGTGAAACCAATCTAGAGTTTGGGGCATCACTCTGACTTCAGTGGACCTGTGTTAGAAGTTATGAGGCCATAAAAGGTTGTGGGACCCCCCACCCATCCAAAACCACTGAAGGACTGAAAATTCATATTCCATGGCAGAAAGTCACAAAAAATAACTTTTTCATAGAGTTTTCAGTCATGCTCTAGGAATGTCTCCCAGAGTAGGAAAAGAAGAGAATAAAAAGAAAAACACTGCATAGATTCTCAGGGCAGTCATTTAGGCAATAATTTTCTTAACATTTTCCAGTTTTTATTCTATGCATGCTTGTTTTGTTTTGCCTCTGTAAAGCTATTGGTACATGACAGCCATTCTATTGTTTATGTTTCTGTTATCAATGGTTTTATGAAAACAAATCCATTATGAGTTGAATTGCTTCACCCTCAAAAGCATGTTGAAGCCATAACCTCTAGCATCTCAAAGTATGACCTGGTTTGTAAGTAGTCTTTGCCGATTTCAACTCAAGACAAAGTGATTAAGGTGGGCTGTTGGCCTTCTACAAAGGAAAAGAGGATCAGGAGAGCTTTAAAAAAACATCAGCGAATGGTTCTCACCCAAGACCGACTGAGTGCGGATCTCTAGGTTGGGTTTGGTGTTGGTGATGCTAACGGCAGTGGGCACTGAGAACCACTGAGAAATGTTGGACACTCAGGTCCCAGCCCGACATTTGCTTTGCATTTGAGATGCACTAATATAGATGAGAGGTAAATCGATAACATAAAGGGTAGACTGCAAGTGAAAGGCAGTCAGAAGGACTAGAAGGAAGGGGAAAGGTCAGCTTTTGCAAGTGCTCAAATCTGAATTTAGAACACTGGTGAAGGCAGGGAAAGGTGTAAGATTACACACAGCCCGAGAGAACTAGCCAACGACCTATCACCACAGAACAAGTCCCTCACCACGCAGTGGCTTCCAAAAGCAACAACTGCTCGTTTTGCTCACAGATCTGCAGTCCGGCCAGGGCTCCCTGTGAATGACCCTCTGCCCAGTGTGAGTCACCCTGACTCAAGGGCTCTCACTCTGCACTCAGCTGGCCTTTCACCTAACTGCCAAGCCGGTTCTGGCTGCCACTTTGAAGCTTACTGAAACTTGTGAGCCGCAGAGCTGATTCCACTCCATCTGGGTCTCTCCTTGGGCAGTCTGGGCTTCCATATCGGGCGGCAGCTTGGGCCCAAGAACGAGCCTTACCAAAACCCAAGGGAGAAAGTGACTGCATGTGATAACCTCGCCTTAGAGTTGCATGACATTGTTCCACTGTATTGGTTGAAGCAGTATAAGGCCTACTCAGATTGAAGAGAAGGGCAGTGCCCGAATCTAGTAGAGGGGCTGTCAAGGCTTTAGAAGAATGGGGACAGGTGTTACCATGTGCCAGCATGGGGAGCTACCACCTGGCTGTCTTGAGACCTTACTGGAAGGGGATGATGAAAAGCATAGAAAAGGAAAAAGGTCATTTAAGCAACAATAACCTCAAATTGTATGCTCACTAGCATTATTATGCAAAAACCATATTGTTATTAACCATGGCAGTGTGCAAATACTTGTATTATTTGTATTAGACGTTTCTAAGGTTTAGGGAGCAACTAAATTCATTTGCTTTGTCCAGCTTTCTTTGGCACCCAGCTTGGACACAGACACCGGGTGATGAGAGTTTTCTAAAATGCTTTCAGAGGCCTTTGTTCTTAGGCTAATCTTATCCATTCATCCTATTTGTCTGAGTGGAGATATCAACTCAAAAACTTGGTAGGGCAAGCAAAAAAACAAAACAAAAATACATTTAAAACCAGTCACTGAAATTTGGATGTCTTTGTTTTTAAAAGGAAAAGAGTGTGGTTTTTTTTTTTTAATTAGAAAAAAAGAAAGCCAGTCCTTCCAACTCATGATTATTATTTTAAGGTATTAATAGAGTGAATTTCCTAACTTAATTATAATTCATCTACAAGTATACACTTCCACGATTAGAAGACAGAGGGGCCCAGAGGAGCCACTTCTTTCTCTTAGGTAAATTCAGTGTTTGTTAGAAAAAGAAATGGTGGCAGAATCACCCTGAAAATGCCCTTCCTGTGGCAGTGGTAGGATGGCTGCAATCAGCTCTCTGTGAGGATGGCAACCTGTGGAGTGGCCAGGAAGGGAACACAGTGGCAGGAATCGGGGTTCCTTCTGGCTCCAGCACTTCCCACACAGGGCTTGAGCTGACTCTGTCCTATCGCTGTGAGTTCTGGGTCCACAGAGTCGCACGAAGGGAAGAATGGAGGGAGGGCAATTGCAGGGTCCTTGGCTGCACTGCAAGTCTTTGTTTACCACACATTTCAGTTACATTTTTCCCCCTAGAATGAGTTACTCATATGGCTGCTCAGAGTTGCTGTTTTGGCCAAAGTTCAGACTGTTGAATCATGGGGAAAAGGACAGCATTGAATGCATTAGCTGTTCCAACATGGGGAAAACAGGTGTGCCTCGAGCACGTGGACACATTCATGTGTCTAGTGGGGATCGATCGGATGCCTGTGATGTCCACGAAAGGACCAGGAGCAAGGAGGAGCTTGGTGTGTGGATGGGCTCTGGATGCAGCGCTGGATCTGGGGAGCACTCTTTCATCAGTCTAGAGCTCGCTTCACTTAGCCAAGTTTACAGAGCTGCAGATTGCTTACGGTTTGACTCGCTGCATAGATGACTTTTATTGCCGCTTTCTCTTTTCTCAGCCATTTCACTGACTGAATGCACATCGTAAAATCAGCACTATTGGCTTTGAAGACGTTTATTAAAACAACGCTTTTGTGAGAGGAAAGTTTATGAGACCCGTGGCTTAGGATGCCATTGATCTATTCACTCTGGGGGATTAGATCTTAATCCTGGCAGGGAAGATGGGCCGCAGAGCGGGGTGAGGGGAGTTGTGGGTTTATCAGTTGCAAGAACAGAGCACAGTTCCATCTCAAAGAGTTCTCACATGTGCTACCTTTGTGCCTTGAGCTAGGTCCACACAACACCAAGTTCAAAATGCACCTGTGCATCAGGAAGAGCCAAAGACAGCTTCAAAGCTGCGTTTTCTGTGTAGCTGCATGTGAGTGAGTATGTGTGGGTGCGAGCTACAATCATCTCATTCAGAACAAACGTACCAACCAGTTTGCCAGTGAAAAAGTGAAGCGCATACTTCACAAAGAGGACACAAATGCAGGAAGAGTTTCTTAGCTAGCAATCTTTGCCTCTCAGCATCATGAAACAGTTTGGCAAGCCACATTTTGAACCTTTTAAGTACCTTTAACATTCATGTCAGGCACGGTGGTCACTGGAGAATCCAAGCTTTGACCCTCAGGGTGCAGAGGTCACAGGAGGTGGATACTTAGAAGAACTTGACTTGGGTCTAAAGAAGGGCAAAACCTTAGCATCTGTGTCCAGGAGGACTCGGGAAGACACCTGTGGAGCCAAATCCCTGCACTGACCCTTAGAGCAAGACCAAGGTGTCCCAGACAGCAAGGAGAGAACCACGCAACCAGATCGCCAAACTCTGGGATCTGGAAGGGGAAGCAGCACAGAACAGCTGAAGACAGTGTGTTGAACTCATGCAGGGGCCCTGGGAGGGCTGGCAGGCTTCAGGGTAAGGAGTCCTGAGAGCTGGAGGGGGAGCGTGTCAGGGGCCACTCAATAAGGACAACAGCAGTGCCTCCATGGCAGCCAGCAAGTTGGCGCTGTGCAGAGCGGGAAGCAAGGCTGCCTGGTCTGCATCGCGGACGTGACACTTGCTTTGAGACCTTGGCAGCTCTCTGCTTGTTAAAGGGGAACTTGCACAAATCAAATCTAGCAGCATTTGTGTGATCAAATAATGATTCATGACCCAGGCAGCACTCTGACCCGGCAGAGCTCGGACAGGCTCCGCCTAGCAACATGGCAGGCAGTATCATAGCTGAGCAGGAAAACAAAGCTCTGAAGCTGCTGGATCGGGCACAGGTGGCCTCAGCCTTCTCTGGACACAGGCTGATCAGCTGGCTGAGACCGAGGAGACCCGGCTCCTGTGGCAGAGGACACCCCTAAGTTAGGTACGGAGGTAGCTTGCAGTTCACGATGCAGGGGTTAAAAGCACAGAGGTGGCTCTAGGCCATGTGTGCTTTAACGGGGTCTCCCTTTCCAGATCAGCAAGCAGGCCTGACAGGGGCAGTGTGTGACGCTGGTGCGACATGGATTTTACGAGTCAGTGCACACCCATGTGGAAGGCGGTGGACGTGTGGCACGTGGTGGCCAGTGGTAACTGGGAGGTGCTCTTGCATCGTGGATGTGTGCCACGTGACGACCAGGCGGAGGCCTGGTGCCACCACACCCACAGGGCTGTGTGTCCCCGGGAGGTCACTACAGCTCCCGTGGTGCCGGTCTGCTGTGTGGGGAGGAGCGGACGCGGTTTGGCGGAGGAGGAGGAAAGCCTGGAGGTTGCCTCATCTCCCACACGTCCTCGCCTTGCTCCTCAGTGCAGGGCACCCACAGGCGTCTCGGCCACCTTCTCCACAGAAGGACACTGGGCCTGGCCCCGGGCACAGCAAAGAGGGAAGCGCCCGTTGCCCGAATCCGCGGATCTCAAGGGAACTGGTGCGGCACCTGCCCTGCCCCAGACTGGGGAGACCCTCGTGTCTGCCCCTAACCTGAGCCTATCCGGGAGGGAATTTGGGGGCCTGGCTCCAGTTTAGGGAAGGCGACGCCAGGCTAAGGGCAGTGGACAGACACATTCACACGGGGGGGACTCAGCTTCCCACTGCGCACTCTGCTTCAACCGGAGGAATAACAAAGGCTCCACCTTGAAGCAGGGGACCAAGGCAAATAGCTGTTGCAGTGCACTGAGCACTTGCCTCTCTGTGGAATTCGGGTTTCGGGATGGAGCGGGGAGCCCGGCAAGGTAGAACTCACCTGTAACCCTAGCACTGGGGAGGCTGAGGCAGGAGGATCACTGTGAGTTTGAGTCCATCCTGGGCTACATAGTGAGTTCAAGGCCAGCCTGAACTGCATAGCAATACCCTGTCTCAAAACAAACAAAACAGATGGAATGGGCTAAGGAGTGGCAGGTGGGCATTTGCTGAGGGAAGACAACCTGGGTGACAAAGCCGCCCCAGTGCTGCCGGAGAAGCCCCTGGCCTCCCAAGCAGGCAATGGCCTGGGAAGGATGAGGGTGGTGGAACAACCAGGAGTCTGATCCTCTCGCTTCAGCTCTGCTTCTGCCAGGAGGAAGCCTCACTACCACCTCCAGGGCTCAGCCACGCCAGCAGCCTGCTTGGGCACCAGCCTAGCCCAGCCGTCAACTCTGCCCTGTGTTTGTTCCATGTTGTCTCATGCCCTCTGCCCACCATGGCTCTGATCTCCCCCTTCCCACACCATGCTCCCTGGAAAGCATGGAAGTCACATTGCTAGGGTCACACTGAGCTGCCTCCCCACATCTCCCTTCTCCTGATAGTGCCCAAGCCCTCATCCTAAGGTGGGGCCTCTGCCTGCCTTTGTAATCACCCCTGCCACCCCGCCTCATTCCGCAGGTGCTTCCTCCTGCCTCATACAGCAAGCCTGACCCCATCTGAAGACATCAGGAAAAGTGGCAGACTTTCGATGCCCATGTGTTGGGGATCGCTACTGGCCTTGAGAAAGCAAAGGCCAGTGATGCTGCTAAACATCCACAAGGCCCGTATGATCCCTCAGAGTGAGACTGCATCTCCCAACAGGTCAGTAAGCCAAGACCGAGACTCGCAGGTGTCCCTTAACCTTGGTTCTTCTCACAGGACTGATCACCCTGTAACCTCGCCTGCCTTATTGTCATAAATCATCCCTTCCAGCAGTTCCTCATGTTTGAATCATTAGCAGACCCTCTGCCAGCGTAGAAGCACTGTGAGGACAGGGCCAGGATGCGTCCGCAGCTCACAGGGCAGTGCCCAGCATTCCTCCATACGTAATTGTAGAACAGCCAACAAGTGAGTTGTAATCTGCCACACCTCTTGCTGACTTTCACAAGTTGCTTCTGATCTTCTCTCATCCAAAGTGAGAAGTAGTGAGATAACATATACCGAAGTACCTTCTAACTAGCAGATACTTATCATCTCTCTATGGTATTTGAGAGTGTACTCATGATACAATAACAATATCACAAACTCTTTTATGCAAACAAGTGTTTGATTCATTTTTTAAAAAATCACATTTCATTTTCTGTAAAGGAAAAGAAGGTACAGTCGTTAGAGGTACTCTGTATTCTGGTATCAGACTTCTTGAGTTCAAATCCCAGCTGTACCACTTCCTGATTGTGGGACCTTGGGTTTACAACTTAGTCGCTGTGTGCCTCTGTTCCTTCATCTAAAACCTGGAACATGGATTGTGTAACTACATCACAGAGATCTTTAAGAGGGGTTATATGTGGATATCTGATTTTGGAAAGGAAGGACTCAGACATGAATGAGTCAGAATCCACCAAGGAACGTGGGCATGGATCCTATGGGAACTGTGGTGGTTAGGGTGAGGCTTCATTGGCTTTGGGATCCACCCCAGTGATTAGTGACCCATACTCCTAGATTGTGTGGGTGGGCTGTGACGGCCTGGCCTTAAGGTCTACATCTGCCTCTTACTCCTTCCTCTCTGTCTCTCTTACCCCGCTCTGCCTCCTAGCTGTCATGAACTAAGTAGCTTTGCTCTGCCACATGATTTCTGCCTTGGAGCTAGCTGACTGTGGACTGAAACCATGAGCCAAATTAAACCTCTCCTCCTTTAAGCTGTAGGTGTCTAATATTGTGTCTCAGCAATAAGAAAGCTGACTAATACAGAAAATTGGCATCAGAGAAGTGAGGTCATAGTAATGAATGTACTTGACCATATTGTTTAGAAGCTTTAGGGCCTGTGTAAGCAGGGATTAATGGGACATTAGAGTCAAAGCTCAGAAGACCAGGATGCTGATAGGAAAGTGGTCAGTAAAGGCCAGGCTCAAGTGGTTTCTGTTGGGAACAAGGAGTTCATTGGCACTTGGACTAGAACCAATGCGTGGTACATTCTGGTAGAAAATTTGTCTATATTTTGAACTATGTCCTGAGACTTTGGAGAAGACTGAGATTAAGGGCTGTTGATTAATTAATCTGGCAGGGGAAATTTCAAGACAGCTCAATGTACAGGCTGTGGCATGAGTATTGCTGGTAGATTTATAATGAGAATTGGGGCAATAGGCAGAGCAGAAAATTTTGAAAATTTTAAATTTTGGCCCAGAAATAACCATGGGTAAAGCTGGGCCCAAAGTTAGGTGTGGTTGCTAATGAGATCAGCACCATTACAAAGAAAGCAAATAAATTGTAGAGAGACAAGAAGAAAGATGCCTTGAGGGCATCTCACAAATCAGCAAGAACTCACCCATAGCAGGCTCAAGGGTGTAAAAAGGTAAATTTTTCATTTAAGAAAAGAATCCCAGGGAAGCCTCCTCAAGAAGGGCCTTTGAGGGACTTGATCCCCAGATTTGTTTCACTATGGTCAGCTATCCAGACGCTCAGAGGCTGCTGCAGTCATTGTCCCACAGGGCCTAGTTTCTGCTTCTGCTAACAGCAGACCTTGGCATAATCCATGTGATGCTGGTTTTACAGCATGCAGAATGCAAGAGTTGTGTGGTTAGGGTGGCTTCTATCCAGATTTCAGAAGAATGCCTGTGAGGTCAGGCAAGGAACCCCAAGAAGGTACTGCAAGAAGCTGTGGGAATGAAGTCAAAGGTGCAGTGGAGACTGCAGGAGTTCAGAGATGCCAGGAATGTGGAATCTCTGCTAAAGAAAGGGACAGGTGGTGAGTGCAGCCAGCCCAAGAAGGAGGCTTTATGAGCTGCAACCAGTAAGGACATAAGGCTGGGGCTATCCAAGTCCATAGAAACTCCCCTTGTATCACACATGAACCTGATACCCACTATGGAGCTACAAGACTTAATGTTTGTCCCGCTGGGTTTCAGTTTGGCTTTGGTCTGATTCTTTTCTATACCCCTCTTTGTCCCTTTTGGAACAGGAATGTTTACCCTGTCCCACTGTATCTTTGGATTGTGCAATTTGCTTTTGATTTTTACAGAGATTCACAGCTAAGAGTTTGCCTTGAATCTTAGAAGAAGGCATGGACATGGACTTTTGAAAAATGCTGGCACTGTTGAGACTTTGGGCAAGGGATTATTGTACTTCCAGTTGTACAAAGTATTATGGGAGGTGGAATTAGGAACTAGCTACTGTTTTTATTTGGAGATTAAGTACAATTTTAGGGAGATGTGTTTGGGTAGCCATTGAAGAGGGATGGGGTGTGATCAAGGTGCGGTGTCAGCTTGACTGCCTTCGGGGCCCACCCCAGAGATTGGTGAAACTCTCTTCTGGGTGTGTCTGGGGCTGTCCCGTGGGTGTGAGCTTAGATCAGAGTCTCTGTCTGTGCCCTTGCTCCTCGTGCTCTGGCACTCTTCTCCTGCTCACTCCCTGGCCATCATGATCTAAGCATCTTTGCTCCACCACACCCTTCTCCTGTGATGTCTCTGCCTGAGATCCCGACCACCATGACTGAAACCACAGCGAATTAAATCTCTCCTCCTTTAAGTTATGGGTATCCAGTGTTGTGTCCAGCAGTGGGAAAGCCAACTAATACAGGGCCCTCCCTGCAAAACTGTAGAAGGCAGTTTAGATTCACCTGCTCAGGAGAGGAGGGGATATTTGTCCATCAGCTCTGGGCCCTGTGGTCAGCTGCTGGCTCTGAGATGAAACCTCCTTGCACCCAAGGCTGGCGATGTGTTGACTGGGGTCCTCAGAAAGCTGGCCTGGCAGGAATGCAGAGATGAGGGCTGGAGGGCTCCACCAGGTTATGATGCCCTTGGCAAGGAGGTGGGCTACAAAGTTGAGACTCAGGGCACTAAAGATACTGAGCATTAAACCATGGCTGTCCCCTCCCTGGGGTACAGACCTCCGTGTGTCTGGTGGGCACAGAGTGGGCCCACATAATGAGACCTTCGTGGCCCTGTGCTAGGTCCCTAGTGTGGCCAAAAGAAAATTGGAAACAAAAAGCAAGGACAGTGCTTGGCACAAAGGTGCCAAGTCAGGGCTGAAAGAGCAAGTGCCTTATCAGGACCGGTTCACTCCTGGCTTGGACACTGCATTTTTTCCCGTTTTAATAAAATCTGATATTTTGCGGTGGTGGTTTATATGTGACTGAAAATTCCAACCTGACTTTTCTTTTCCTTTTTCTTTTTGGTAGCAAGCAGGGACCTGGCTCAGCTTTTCAGAGAAACTAAATTCGGTCTAGACCAATTCAGACCTCTCTGAAGCCCCACTGAGCACAGAAACGGTATCGAGTAGAAGAAGGAAAGAAGTAACACTCAGGGATAGTTCTCAACATAATTAGTTCTGCAGCTTCCATTTTTGGAAAAAAACCATTAGGGATATTGCTGGTTCAGAAACAGGATGATGAGACGGCGTTAGAGGAGAAAGCAAATGTCACGTTAACTTGTGCAAAATGTTCAGAGAGAAACCAGCAACCTCCCTGTTGGTAAAACAAACAGGCAGAGCCAGTGAACCGGACCACGGGGCTGCCAAAGTCACAGTGTGACGCCACGGCCTAGTGCCCTGTTTCCTTTGGCCCTGTCGTTCCAGTGCCTCCCTCACCCTTAACCAGGCAGACTCCAACGGAGACGCAATACTTTTTAGTTTATATGCTATTTTTTCATCTTCATCAGAATTAAAATTATACAAAAAACTAAAATTATACTAAGCAAGTGCTCATGCAGAGAACATGCTGTTCTGTTCTTTTTGAACCATTGGGGGTTGTACACTTTTAGGAAAAGCACTTAGAATGAACCAGTGTTACTGCTACTCTTTTGAACATATTTTGTCGGTCTCCACTCCTTTCCTTGCCCTTCTTGACCCCTTCCTGAGCTGCAGAGCTGAGCTCCCGGCCTCCCGGCCTCTCTTCTTCATTTTAATTACTTAGTCAATACTGTGCATAGTTTTCAGATTTCTCATATAAGAGAAAACATGAGATATTTAACTTTCTGTGTCAGGCCAAATCCACTGAACATGATGGTGTCAACTATTCTTGTTATAAAATATTACCCCTTGGATAAAGTTAATAGTTTAAAAATGTTTGGAGCATTTTTGGACAAGCCCTGGTACCAGCTATGCACAGCTTGGAAACTGGTTGTCCATGATACAAAGTTGGCACACAAGTCTTATTTATCTAGTAAGGGTTTGCAAAGAAAATTTTTGATTCAAAATTTAAGATCCAGTAGATCTTACACACAGAAATATAAACTTATGGGCTCTCTGGAAAGACTTGAGAAGAGTTTTAAGCCTGGCTTTTCCTGGGACCTGGGTGGCAGGTCCTACAGGGCATGGGCCTGGGCCCCACAGCAGCTGTCCCCTGGGCCCCTGGCCGGCCTGTGTTCTCTGGTGTGCATGGCGAGCTGCTTCTCCAGGCCCAGCCTCAGCAGCTTATTCTCACGACCCTGGCCGGCTGATTTTTTCACAGTGGAGGAAAAGTCTTGGATCAGAACACAGATGGAGCTGGATAGCTCTCAGAGCTCTTTTTCAGTGTAGTGTAAAATCCCACTGGGAGTCCAGCTTCTCGGCCAGGTACGACTCTCCAGTCTCCATTACCCAGGTGATGAGACAAGTCCTCACCCATAGAATGTGAGTGGAGGTCATAATTTATTCTGTTTTTAATTAAGAAACTTCTTAGTATGTGTTTG